ATCTAGACAGTTATTTTAATGAATTGGCTCATCACAGAGGATAAATGATATCGTAAATCATTTGTCGTATTGGTTTAATGAAAGCTATTCTCCTTAATTGTTTTTTAGGTTTCTGATCTATTTCGCCTTCTGTAAACTTTGAACATAATTAATTGTTCTATTTACCACCAGTATTATTTCCTGTGTTTATTTTTTTCAACAAACCATAATTTTAAGGGCAATTTTTAGACCCTCGACGCCTACGCGTCTTCGGAAACACATCATGTAAACAAATTACCACCGAACAGGTTTTGCATTGCCTTTAATAAAATATACCGCTATATCAATACAACTCTGTGTGCGTAATATGTATCACATCTGTGTTTAAGGCGCGCCAACAACAGTTGCCGGGTATAGTACACCACGTGACAAGTGACAGTGGCGGTAGCAGTAAAATCGAATTTGCCCGCCAAACCCCGCCGAGCAATCCGACCAATAACGACGGCGGATAGTGATATCCTCCGACCAATGAGACGGCTGAATTTTGACGTCACTACTAAAATTAGAAACGTTCGAGTGCTCGCGTGTCAGCCGGCGTCCCCGTAACTTGGCTTAGGCAGTGGAGTTCCGCGATGGTCCGTAGACGTCGTGCGTTACGTGCTATTGTACCGACTGATTTATGTGTGCACGTTTAGCACGAGTTCTTATGAGTTTAAGGTGAGTTTTATTATTATTATATCTTTTTTGTAATAAGCTCGAATTTTATCAATTATTTCCTGAGTATAATATATTTGGTCGCAAAATAAAACATACCCACCTGCAATTAAACTACTCTCTAAGATCAGAAATATCTAATAAAATTTAATTATTCATGTAATTTGTAAGGATAAAAAAACTATTTAAAAATTTACCCCTTCAATAATGTCTCTTTAATATTTATTACGCAACAGGTAGATGCATATTGTACACAATCATAAACTACTCGAAAAAAATGTTTAGTTGATAAATTTACTAATAATTATGAGTAGTGTTAGGACAATCAAAACTGATTGTTAATAAATGTATAATTTATTTATTTATTTTTGAATTTACATGAATTAATATACTTGTATGACACAAATGTCGGCGATTTATTGTTTAATTAATAACTTATTAAATTAAATAACACCACACATTAACATTAATATTACTTGAATATATAATAATATAAGTATTATGAATCGATTTACAATTTACGTTGGAAATATTATAAATAAATACTATATGTAATTAAATAGATTTTTTTTAAGTTATATTATTTTAATTGAAATTCAAATATTTTCATGCATAAAAAAAAATAAAATTCAACTATTGAAATTTAAACAATATTTGTCTAATTACTTAATAAAAAGGGAAATGATATAATATCAACAAATTAATTATGATTCACTAAGGTAATTGTTCACCATTTGTTAACTCTAAGGTAATAATATTTTAATTATTGAAATGGGAAAAGTTGTCAGCAAGTTTAAGGGAAAAATTATAATCTTTTTTTATCATTGATTATACTTGAAAAAATATTTACTCTCTATTGTTATAGGGTCAATTAGAATCTCTTAATTATTTTATATACTTCTTTTACTTTGAAATTGAATGTTTATATGTGAATTGGTAGATAATCTTTCCACGTAAAATGAGTTTTTAGAAATCCAAAATATATTACTTTAGTTATTTGAAAAATTAATAAAAATTATTAATATTATTATATACCAAAATGTATGTTCAATCAAACATACTTCTTACTCTATTAATATTTTATAATATATAACTATAATATAATATGTTAAGTGCTCTAACACTTAATTAAATAACTAGTAATATAACTATAGGTAGCATACTTTTACACAATCACATAATAATTTACCATTTTTATTAATAGATCGCTAAATAGTACTATAGTCGAGTAATTTCATTGTGTTTTATCTAAAATATTGTTTAAAGTAAAATTTAAAAGCTTCAAAACAAACGCGCTATCTGATACAGTATAATACAAACGTTGTTGAGTACATGCAATTGCACCTCGTTGTCATTTCACGCCCACGTCCAATCCAAACTGAGACGTTATCGGTTCATCCTATTACTTTAATAATAAAAACTTGGGTCTTTTAGTCTCTTAACTATCTTCGGGCTCAAAGTACACATTTGTATACATTTTTATTAGACTGTATTGAGACTTATTATTTGACTCTAAGCAGTCTTTCACTGATATTGTCGTAAAATACTGTTTTTTTTTATTATTTATTATTGTCGTGATAAAGATTTAATAAATACTTCTCAATTGAAAATCATTAAAATTTTCTTTTTCATTTTAGAACCAAAAATAATAATTTCGATATTCCATTTCAAATAATTTTAAAATATCCTAAATTATAAATTTTATTTAAAAAAAAAAATTAATCTTGCTTAATTAATTAAAAAGTTTATTTATTTGTTATAGTTAGTTGATCTTCAAACTCAATTCAAATAACACCTTATACTACGCTAATTTCCTTTCGTATCGTTGCACTCGAGATTTTTTTGAATTAACTGCGTAATATCCGTAGTAATTATCAATAGTTAACAGTATTGGAATAAAAAAATTACAATAATAAACGATAACTTTTTAATTATATGATAATAAAAGTGATACATTCTACTACAATTGTTTCAAGAGTTTTTACTTTAGATAGTTTTAGAAGAAGGCTAAAAATAAACATTAAATGTGACGAGTATTTTATTAAATCTATATATGTATTATTAATAATTGCATTAAACTTTATAATATTTTAGTATAAAAAATGCAAAAACATAAGTTTAACATAATAAAGTTACCAAAAACAATACCAATACGGTTTAAATGAGCTTTTTTAATAACTTTTATATTTGTAATGTTTTTATTTTTGGAATTTTGGTGATTTACTTGTATTTTTATTATATATTTATTATGAAGAATTTCAAATTTATTTATGGAAAATATTTTTCTTATGAAAATGAATGTATGAATTCGTTGAGAATTTTCATCGGTGTACTTATGCAAAAATATTCAATAGTTTTTCCTTTTAGTTGAGTGTTGCACTTTCAAACTAATTAAAATGTTTAATATTATTATAATGAAAAATAAATATTCAAATTTATAAAATTAAACAGATCTAAATGTTCAGATTTCATTCATTGTTAATTCAGGGTGTAGGATAAAATAATCATATCAACTAAGATCTTATTTTCCAAGTGATCATTATAAAATTTCTATGTTTCAGTTTAAGCCGAGTAAAAAAAATTACTTAATAATTTCAATATTATTGAAAGTGTACGACTTTCGTGCTTGAAATATTTTTAATTTTATTTGATAAAATAATTAGTCTCCAACACTCCGGCAATCGTTGTGAGTCCCTCAAATATTTTTCAATAAATGGGTCCTTGAGATTGCGCTTCCGAGTCAAGGGATAAAGTTTTTATTATTTTATCTTCTATGGTAAATTTTGAATAAGCTGAATTTTTAAATACTGATGTAAAAGCCCAAGCATAAACCGCGCTAAACATTATACTTAATATTTTAACAAAAAGAAACTGTAATATTTTTTAAAACGAGCCTATTCTAATTTTAGAAATATATTTTTTTGAATTAATTTTGTATATATATTGTATACAGGATGATTGCATTATTATAAACCACTCAATTGCTTCAAACTAAATACAATAATAAGAAAAAAAAAGTTTGGTTTGTTTTAGTTACATAATCTTTTGATTTATTAGCTATTATTTGTTTTTTAGAATCATCACTTATAACTTACAGGAATGTCAACTTTATTTCATTTTTAAATGTCAACATACATATTTAATTAACTTATAAAATGGATAATTATTTAATTATGATAATTACCGGTCGCTAATAACTTTTCGATCAGTACTTCGGCAGTTATTGTAATTTTTATATCTAGGCAGGTTGAGTAAGACCAGAAAATGACTAGTCCACTAGTCATAGAAATTTATATAACTACATAGTTTCTTGTTACAACAAGAAATATATATAACTAAAAAAACCAATATTTTTTTTCTAATATTGTATTTATTTTGCGAGCAATCGAATGGTTTATAACAAACCGATGACTTTGCGTACATAAATTTTACAATATTATTGTAAAATTGTTATTCATGGAATTTAAAAATCTACATTTCGTTAATAATACTATTGATTTGCACATTTTTAAATTTTAGATAAAAATTGTCTTAACATAAATACTTCTAATGAAACTGAATGATACGCATTTTATTTACCATAATTAGTTAATACAAATTAATAAATTTTAAATGAATAAGTAACGTCTTTATGATGATCAAATATAGCTTTATTCTACACATTGAACTGATAATCTTTGTCATTAATCAAATGAACTCTGTAATCTTTTATAAATTCAAACAAAATATCGATTAGGTAAATGTATTATATGTACATTGATGCAACTATTCTACATGAATTTAATGGACTTCGTTTAATTAGGTGTTTACCAGAGACGTATTTAATTTTTTTCTGCATAAGTATAATATATTTTCAACATTCATATTCTCTTAAAAATTCAGTTCCTCGATTTTTAATTTATCTAAATACTTTTTTTTTTTTATGAAAAAAAATTCATTTGCTCCTAAATACGACACTGCGTGTTACCGATTTAATCGATAAATTTTAATTAAGCGAAAACCCAGTTAAGATAAAATAATTATAATAAATTTTTAAATATTTTACTATATAGTTCTTTTACATTATTCTATTCTTTCAAAGTTTATAATTGATAGTAGAATAAAATAGTTATTCACATATGTTTTGTATTTCAAAATAAATGTGCTGTCAATTTTATTATACTATAGCTATTAATTTTATTTTCAATTTTTTAAAATAATTTACCACTATTAACTCAGATTATACTACTTTTTTTTTATTATTATTCGAGCAAATAATAGATGAATATTTAAGAAACATAATAATAGTCTGACGCTACAAGTAGAAATGGTACAGTTCATTATTGAATTACACGGCGAGATATCCAAAATCGTCTGTTGTATAATAACAGTGTAATTTAGGTGATTAAACGTTATTTTATTGCTTTCTATGAAAGACGTACTATGCTAATATAGTGTGTGAGAATGTAAGTGACATTTCGCATAGGACATTGGACCACACATCTTCGAAAATAATATAGAAAATTAAAATGTGTAAGTAACTGTATATGTTATCATCTATAATGCTTTTATAACTAATATTTTATTACCACGTGGGAGATTTCTAACTTAAAAATTAATAACTAGTCAATAATAAATACTCGGCTGGTCGATCAAAACATAAAAAACTTAAAACGATTGTATAATCTTACTGAAACAGGGGATTAACTGTTTTATTGAAAGCAGACTTTTATTACAAGCCCATTTAAATTGCGACAGCTATGATAGTATATCGTCGTCGTATCTGTGTCAATTTGGGCCTTCATATTCTATAGTTCTCTATTATGAATACGAATATGCGGTTTCAGTCTTACTATTTTTTTTTTTAATGGTGAAAGCAAATTTGAACAGCCGACAAAGAATGATAAATCGAATAGGTCAAGAATTTTAAGAATATAATTAATATGAATAACGAAAATTTTCTTCATATTTTTTAAAACAATAGTCAATATGTATTTGAATACCTTGAAACTAAAAAGTATTCAAGAACATGCTACATATATGAGTATGTAAGTTATAATTGTTAAAATATCAGGGTCCCACATTTTTAGTAAATAATATAAAGAAAATAAATAAAAATATAATTTTTTACCTTTTCTCATGATAATAGAATGGCAAATAATTATTATTTTAAAAATTGCTAGAAATTTTTAAAATGGTNTTTACCTTTTCTCATGATAATAGAATGGCAAATAATTATTATTTTAAAAATTGCTAGAAATTTTTAAAATGGTTAAAAAAAAATTTTTATTTTTTAATCATTTAATATGTTGTACATCGGCACACTTATTCGTTGTAATATTTGTCAAAAACACTTGGTTCTTACTTCTTGGCAGTGCACGTTTGGCTACAATTCTTTTTATGCTCATACTATAAAAATAAAACTATAATTAACATCCAACACCTGCCATTTAGATCAGACACTTTTAATTGAAAACAAGTTTATCACTAATAAGTTCTGTTTCAAATAAATTTTTTTAATTAGTTCATGTTCACTGAGCTATGTATTTAATTAAATTGTTTAAATTAAATTAAAATATTTTAAGAAAAAATTTAGTAATTCATTAAAACAATGAAACAGCATTATTATTTTGTATTTTATATATATATACATTTTAATTGACATTTGTTTTCGAGGGCGAATTTATTACACTTTGACGACTTCAAAATGAACATCGTTGGAGTTTTGTTAAAATTATGTGTATACCTATTTATATATTAAGTATAAAAAAATTTACTTTTAAGTTCAGCAGAACCTAAGGTTAATTAATTTTTATTTGACATAAAAGTATTATTTTGTATCTTTTTAGTAAAAATTTCTAAAATTATTTTAAAAAAATCGTTAGGGGTGTAAACATATACAGAATGTTCAGTGAGTAAGGTAACAGATTAATAGTTATAAACTCGTTTCATTACTTACTGAGCGCACTATATACCGACACAAGGATACTACTATCTTTAAGATAAGGATAGTAATAACCTATGGAGGTGTTTGGCCCTCCCTAAAAAATGTTTCTGAAAATTTCTAAAAATACTTTAAATCTAGAAAACATTTCATCAATGTAGGGCGTTTTTAGTTATAACATTGATACCAAACTCACTGTTTTATAGTATATATTTCGAAATTGAAAATGATGAAAAATAAATTATTAAGTACGTGTTTGGGGTAAATATAAACGAATGGTAATTATAAATTCTTTTTTTTATTTTAGAATATTTAACAGATTTTATTTTAGATGATGTAGTTATATGTGTAGAGTAGTGTATGTGTTGCTATCATATCAAATATAAGTTCAAATTAAAAACTTGTGCATTTATCTAAAAAAATGTATTTACACCCCAACTGCTGCTGTGTAATTTTATAAAACATTTATTTAGATTTTATACACACACATGTTTTGACATCCTTTCAAGCTTTGTATTGTCAAATGATATTTTATAATCAGAATCTTTTCTGATGTTTAAAACTTCATAAATTGTGTTTACATTCTCTTTTGTTTGTTAGACGACATATACTTATTCTATTTAATATTTAACGTATTATATTTTTATTTTATCGTATACATTCCTGCAGTCCTCTACGCCTTACAAAAATGGCTTGACACGCAATTTACCCAATTACGGTTACTTCAAAAGAATGTAAACATAAAGTAACATTAGTGACATTGAGATCCGTATCTATATACACTATATTGATCAAGCAAACAGTATGTACTTGATGTACCTATACTTTTTTAAGCTAATCCCAAAACTTATTTATTTATTGACGTTTTGAACCCATCAAAACGACTGTGGAATTTCCTCCTATTATTGAAATTTAAACGAATGAATCAAGCAAACTCCTGTGAAAAACTATTTTAAACTGCCAAAACGTCTACTTTTTTTTTAATGTACGTCTTATGTTGATATAAATTTGCCGAAGTATTAGAGGCACATTTAAAACTTTTTTAGCGCACGCGTAACTTTTATAATAGTGGGAAGTGAGCAGACCTTCTCGTTGTTTGTCTATAACAGATACGACAAAAATAAAGATAGAAAAAATATCGAAGGTCACAAATAGATTAGAAGTTTTGAAAAAATAATATCGTATACTTTTTAAACGACGAGAAATCCAAACTAGCCGTTATCATTTGCCACGAACACGACAATGAAGCCGTTTCCTGATTGCGTACAAAGCCTCTGTTTACCGAGGAATTTCAGTCAGGTCGCGCCCATTGAGTTCTCATGAACCGTTCTTTCTCCGCATTTTAGCGTTTCTGACGCATTGACAACCTCAACACAAGTACAATACAAACACATTCGATACCTTGCCGTTGCAATATTGTGTGCGTGCCGTATCGGTCACGATAATCGCGGGATAATGTTTTTTAACTGGATGGTTCTCGGTAAAAGTGTATAGGATAAACAAATTTGCGCAATAATAATTAGTTAATGTTCGGTAATTGCGGTAACCCATCGCGAATGCATACACTAGGTTAGCTCAAACTGCACTCTATGAGTACAAAAAACTATTACGGGCGATGCAACGCGAATGGCGTTATCTCGTTTATGTTGTGCCTGGCGTGGGGTAATGTCAAACCAGACGCTTAGCATTTTTCTGATATGCTTATGAATGAAAATATTTTGTAATTAACTACTTGGGTTCGGACTATTTTTCTAGAGGACTGCCAGAAAGGAAAAGTGCATCGGACGTGCGGCCTGTCTCAGAGGATTTAAATTGGTCGCATACACAACCGCATCCCACAGCTCGATCGATACATCACTTATTATTTGACTCGTTTTTTGGCTACTGGTCCAGCGTATAGTTAAAACACTGCATGATTAAGAATGATGACTATATTATATCATAACGTACGTTTATCATCCATGACAATCGCTATTGTTGTTGTTGGTAAAAAACGAGGTCGTGCATCTAAAATGGTTCGTTACTTTGGACGGTTTTACGCTGAACTTTTTTATTGGGCATTTCCATAATTGTTCGAACCATATTGGTACTTGTGAAATAAAAAATCACAGACCTCTCGCCGTATACACTCTTGCACGCAATTATAAACGACGTTTTTATCTTTACTGTTGGATCGTGACGATAAGTGATAACTACACTCTCAGGGCGATTTACCAATGAAATCGATCGATAATGCGAATGTTATCTGTACCGAGTAAGCGCGAATTTCTAGTAACTGCTTTTACGAGCACGTGCTGCTGTGATTTACTGGTGTTTGGTGTGATTGTTGATTTTAGACTTAAATCTTCACTCGTGTACGCATTTATGTCTTCAAAAGACAGTCGGCTGACCAACAACAACATCAACCTACTGGCGACGAGATATTCAGCCGTGGCAGTTCTTACGCACAGACAAAAGACGGCTATTGGACCTCATCCAAGTGTACAATAACATTGTTGTCGTTCTCGTTGTCTATATACGTTATCATTATTTTTTTTAAACTATCATTACAACGACGGATTATAGCATGTGTGAACCATTAATTCGAGTTAACATGCTCATACGTCTGCACAAAGAGTCGTACCGAAAATTATTTATGACGACCATCGCTCGATCGCGGGGAATCGTCTCTTTTAAATTGTTTTTTTTTCTCATTTTTTTATTAGTATTGCTTTGGCGTTCATCGTCACACGTCGTTCCGGGAATTCGAATCGACCGATTAACGACGACCCAACATAATATACGTTATATTATTGTATAAACAATACTTGTGATTATGCACCGGCTAACTGTCGCTGTTACATGATGCGCTACATACCATATAGGTCCGCATAACAAAACGATAAGTCCAAAAAAGGTCTGCAAATTTGGGATATTCGATATGTTCAATGTATTATATTTAAACCATTACAACAATGTACACGTGTGATAGCGTTTTTAAAATAGCTAATTTGGTATTCTTTGTCATGAGAGGTCCTTATTAATTCAATAAATCTTTTTTTTTTTTTTTTAAAAAAACAAAAGATTATATTCGTACTTATAATCTAAAAATTTGTATTTTTTTAACGATTTATTACATTGCTCTAAAACCATAATAATAGAAACATACACAGGATAATTATTTAGCATGTTTACTTATTATAAATAAAATACTATGTCGTCTACAAAAATCTTACAAGGCGCATCGTCCACATACCTTTACAATCTATGAAAATGCAATTACTGTACAATAATTATTTATGTCTGCATATGTTTTCTCGATCTGCGTAATTTTAAGTATTTATTTTGCAAAAAGAGCGTATCGACAATAAAATACATTTGTACTGACAACTTTTAAAAACCATTAATAGTTCTTTATTAAATTAATTGTTGTTTTGAAGATATTATTAGTCTAAATTAGCATATATTATTAGTCTGAACAAATAAAACAAAAATTATAGCACAGTTCATAGAGTGGACCACGGAAGAAACTACGACTTAAGTTCACTAAAAAAAATTTATTTTTATCATGACAGAAAATCAAGTATAAATTAATATTAAAAGTAGGTCG